AAATCAAATGTATAAAAATGTCAAAATAAAAGCAAATATAAACAAATGTAAGTTAAAATACAAAGGGTGAAAGAAACTCTTTCCAATGATGGTATAACATCTTACAGTATTTTAAATAACCAACAAGAAAGGAGATTCAAGTATTGGTTGCAGGATTTCATCATGACGCGCTGACATCAGAGTTAGAGAACCATTGGAAAACCAACAGGGAGTACTGGACAGGTGCTTCGTCCCAGTGTGTGGGACTCCTCGTCGGTTCGAACCGAAGACCTGCTTATTTCGCACACCACTAAGCAACTGGGACCTGATTCAATGTCAAGCTCATGAGCTCCAACGTCGGCAAATTCATGACATGTCGCGAATGACCCTAGCCAGTGTCATGAGTGGTGAGTATTTGTCCTCATGCTTGAGTCGCTGTATCCTAGTGGTCACGAGCCCAGATCAAGAAGCCTAGGTAACCACCTACCTGGGGGGCAAGTCGCTGGTAAGCTATTAAGAAATCGTGACAACTGAGTAGGTTGGTTGGATGTGAGGACAAATACTGGCGGCCGCTGACACTGGCTACTGCCAGCCGTGCCATATCGTGCTTCAACTGGTAGAAGTTCAGACTCATGGACTGGACATTGGATCGGATCCCAGTGGCTGGATGGTCTACGAGCTAGCTCGCCTTGTAACTAAAAGGTTTTGAGATCGAACCACAGTGGGTTGGGCGCATACTACTGGAGAGTCGCAAACTAGTCTGAGTAGACAGCTGGCTGTACAGTACTCCCAGCTGGTTTTCCAATGGATCTCCAACCGATGTCAGCTCATCATGATGAAATCCTGTAGTCAAAGTGGTAGATATTGTAGTTGCATACATCAATTAAGAATATACCCCCACAGAAATCCTGGAAGAAGAACTCCTAAACCTTGAGCGAGTTTTGAAAAATAATAGTTGCTCTACAAAATTTATCAAAAAGTAGGCAAGAGATCTGAAAATCTAATGGTGAAATAAACCACATCGATGAATAAGCAACACCTGTCTTCATCCAGCTTGGTTCTAAAGGTGACAATTTTGTAGGAACAAATAACAGCAGGTTGAAAACTTCGCTAGCTAGAACTCCTTCTGCAGTCAAATTGGTTCCCGTTTATCCGACAACAAACTCTTTGGTGCAATCAAAGGTTGACAGACAGATATCTTTCCCATGTCAACACTGACTGTGTATACAAATTTGCAAAAACAGAAGACAAGGGCCAGGCAACAGATCGTTTATCAAGGAAATCAGCACGTATTTATATATATCATGTATATTAGTATAGCTTATTAAAGCAGACAAACACAGTCTTCTGATTGGTTGCTTCTTGCCTAAAGTTATTCTGTACTGCTTGTGACTGGTTTCTCAGAAAGTTAAGCCATATATCTGCGAATCGTATTTGCCTACGTTAAGTCTGCTGTGATTGGTTGTTGAATCAGCCTTGTTCATATTTTCTCACGGCCAATATTAGTGACATAGACAGTGACGTAAATTAATGTCTACCAATTGGCTAGCAGCCTGCTCTCACCACAAATTTACATGTATCTGCTGGAGCAGTTACGACATTGGGATGATAGAAAGAAGTGGATATCTTTTCAGATTCTCTGAATATGTATCAAAACCTTCACGTCTCAATGTTCTATTGCTAGACATTTGTCTAGTTGATGCGGACGATGAGGTGGACATACTGTGAAAGCCATAAAGATTATTTGTAGAAGCAATCTCTGATAAACGTTTAAAACCTGACTTATCTGTTCAGAAAGATTCATTAATTCGTCGCCTTTCTTTGCCTTGGTGATTCAACGTCTAATCTTTTGAGTCTCATTTAGTTATGTAATCATTCGCTTTTACCTCCTCCCTCGGTTTTCACTTCAGTATTATTCATATCTTCATTTTATCACGAAGACTTGACCTATTATTATTATATCCTTTAATTCCTAAAGGAACATGGGGCTTCAGCTGCGCGTCTCCATTGCCTTCTGTTTTCTGCTAACTTTTTCACCTCGCTCCACGTCTGCCCACATGCTTTCATCTCTTCTTCACATGAACTCCTCCATGTTACCCTTGCACTGACGACGAACTCGCCGCTTCCCTCTCGGCTTCCACTCGAGTGATGGCCTGTCTAGTGACGTCACTTGATGGTTTCCTTAGCGTATGGCCAGCCAATCCATCTACATTTCTTCCTGCATATTTGTTTCACAATCGGTTCCTGGTTGGTTCTCCGATTGTCAGGGATCCCTGTTGTTGATCTCTTCTGGCTGGCCATCTGATATCGAGTAGCATTGAGCGAAGACAACTGTTAATGAAGGTCTGTAGTTTGTTTGAGATGCTCTTCATCAAGCGCTGGCCAAGTCTCTGATCCGTATAGTGAGTAGCTCTGACTGACTTCACATCGGAGTTGAAAATTCGGATCTTATTTTTGATTCTGAGTAGGGCTGTTTACCTCCACACAGACTTGATGAGAGCAATGAAATCTTGTCTTGCTTTTTCGATTCTGGCTTTGATAGCCTCATCAGTTCCGTCGGCCCCCTAGTTGAAACGATGCTTCCCAGGTAGGTGGGTAGGTGAAGGAGGTTGTTTCTTTCAGGTTCCTCCCATTTATGCAGGCGGATTGTTGTCTGTTGTTGTTGCTGTTGGTGTTGAGCATGAATCTTCATCACCTCACCATACTCATCATCAACAATGTGTAATTATCAGGAAGATCGGGTAGAAAAGACAAAATAGGATTTTACTTATTAGAAAACTCGTCAGTTTGTATAATTAAGGGTTAAGGATGTAGTATTAACGAAATGAGTAGGAGGTTCACACATATAAAAATAAAAACAGTATCCAAATCTAATAATGAAGATAGGGATTTAAAAAAGGTAAATATAACAAATAAACGGGAAGGTTGGACAAGAAAGGTGTTATAGGATAATCATTATTGGTGAAACTGGCTTTTCAGGATGGTCATTGGTAAGGACAACGGTTGGATGTATTCCTCGTGGACGCATAGAGTAGGCTTGAGTTTTTCGATCACCAGTGCGTCAGTTATTCCTAGATGCCTTGATTTCACTCCATTTGGTAGGTTGGATCGGATCCTGTATATGGTTGTTTTGAAGGGCTTTTCATCAAATGGAGCTGAACATCCTGAATTATTCACCAGATGTTAGGTTATCGAACTGTATGCCCCTTTGCGTTCTCTCTTTGCTAACAGTACTGCATAGTGTTCCTTAGCGCGTTTTACAAGTGGACGCATGGTTCGACACAATTTACTCAGCTCCTAACGAGCAAGTGGACTTGTATATGCATGTTTAACTGACCCATTTTACCATCCTGTCTTTCATGTATTGGGTGATTATTTTGTTGCAAGAGAACGTTATTCGTAGGCTGGTGGCGAAGTATGTTTTGGTTTTATAGTAATTATAATCCTATTTGATCTTTTCTACACGATCTTCCTGATTTTGTTTTTACTTGATATTTGGCCTGAGATATTTCTAGAATAGTACCACTACCTATCTTCAAAGTGTTTATTACACTTGGTGATTTTATTAATTTTACCTTTGACCGGAAATAATTTCGGAAGTTTCTCACACATGTAATATAAATACACGAATGTACAGCCTAGTTGATGAATTCGTCGAAAAGGAAATTTCCTTCACTGCAACTGTCTTCTTAATAACTCCTATGATCCAATGTATATATTCCGTGATATGATAAAATCGCAAAGTGTTATGTAATTACTGATAACAACGTTTCGAGCACTATTTATTGCCGCTTATAATCATATCAAGGCAGTACTCACACACAACTTTCTTGCTTCATTTATATACATGAGTAAAAACTGACAATTGGACATTTGAATAAAATCAATATAAGATGAAGTACTCTTAAAGCCCGGCTAGCCAGCAGTAATCCTGGTAAGGTGAAAAAGTTGGACATCAGGTGGGCAACCCCATAGCTTAGAAAAAATCTCTACTGCTTTTCAAAACCCTATATGTACCACCTAGGACTCAAAAGAATGGAATTAAAAAAATCATTGGATCAGTAATTCGGAGACGCATCGTTGTCATCCCCTCACGATGCCAATTTCACCTGCTTCATCTTCAGTCAACATCACCACCTATTAGTTAAAAAATAAATAAAGCAAGTATGTTCCCTGACTGCTTCTGGGATCATCACAAAAGTACACTTTGTATATTAGTGTTCTGGTTGGGTTCCGGGTGGAACATAGGTCTTCAGCAGCACACCCCATTATGTGCAATCTTTCTTAGCTAGCTGCATGATTGTCCATAAACAGCCTTCACTCACGCCAGTCTTGGACACATAGCTAACTTGCCGTTTTCCATCTCGGTCTCAATGTACAACCTTAAGCACAGTGTTGCTTAGTGGTCTTCTCACGGTGTGTTTAATCCCTCCCTATTTTCTTCAGGATGTCTGTTTTGGGCAATAGGTTCCATGTTGGTTCGTTCGTTACCCAGCCATAGTTCTTTATTACTTATCGTTTCTTGTCTCCTAATCGTCAGCATGGATGGAAGGCAAATATCGACAAACGTCTGAAGTAGCCGGTTAAAAATGCCTTTAGTGACACACACTAGCCAAGTCTTACGCCGATTTCAGACTAATGAAGGTCGGTTCCATCTTTTCGATCCTACATGAGTTGGATATTCTTACCCAGGGCCGACTGCATGTAGTTAAACCGATTCTGATCACTCAGGTAGGTCGAATTTCTCCTGTTGATGGTGGTGATTGACATTTTTTTTTTATTGTTGAATAGGTCTCTTCACAGTCCCTGCTTTCTCTATGTTCACTTGAAGGAGTCCTTCGTTGCCAGCCTCTTCAATCAGCCTGTTAACTTTCTCCTCTAGATCTTCAAGCCTGTGTGTGTGTGTGTGTGACATGTTGTATGCGGATATGGCTATACAAAAGTTGATAAGACATTTTAATGTTTTCCCTTAATTTCACAGTGTCTCTCTTTTTTATTTTCCTATTCTATACACATTACAGAGATACACGTGCCACCGGCTGCTTAAAACCAATCCGATTGAATGAACCTGTCACTTCGCTGGGTAAAGCATTCGCTGAAGTCGATAATGTTATTGCTCAGGTAGTATCAAACGCTTTCTCTACTCCAACAGTCAACAACAACAACAGTGCAAATTCAAGAGTATCTACAACCTCCTTAATAAATCCATCCATCACAACGTCAACAGTAGCAATGCCAAGTACACCGATGACTGTTATAACTGCGCCTAATACAGACCATTTAAAAAATAATAATAATTTCATGTTATCTAATAATGCAAATCTTATTCATAATACTACTGAAATCAACAATAACAGTAGTAGTAGTGGTGGTAATTGTAATCATCATCACCACCATCATGATATCAATGATACCTTGTTAAATAATCAAGTCAACATTATTGATAAAAAAGGCATACCAAGTCATAGAGAATCTCTACCTATACAAACTTTACACTTTCCACCGATATTGGATACACCATGGGAGGAACCAGATTGTAGTGAAGGTAAGAAGTTCCTTCCTTGTATTTTATTGTATTGTGGGTTGTTTTTTTTGTTATTATTTCAATTTGTAAAGATTATGTCGGTCGGAAATTGAATCTTGATCAGTTGGTACGTGTTTGGCAACTAGTATGCCATGCAACCAATGACACTTCCAAACCATCCTAGGAAGTAGGGATGGGACTGTATACTTCCTATTGGGATAGTTGTTCAGGCACTCGTATAACTCCGAAAAAACGGTTAGTCGTCCGTGAATGATGTCGTATGATCGGCTAAAGTAAACTTTAAGCACCACTGACTACCAATGGAGTGCGACAGCAGCGATGACCTTGAAACGCTCACTGAGCAAGTCGGTGAGACCTGGCAAATAAAATGTGCTCATCAAAGTGTTATGCTGTTAAAATGGGATTTCTGGCTAGTTTCGGCTTAGGTTTGGGAAAGATAAAGTTACTCTGTAGGCCAAGGACTAGTTAAGGTTAGATTAACCTAATCAAGGCGACATTAGGGTTGTTTCGAGTTAGATTACAGTTGGTTTGGGGATATTTTCACGTTAGGGTTAGGTTCAGGAGAGATAAGGGTTGTTGTCATGGTTAGAAGACCTAAATAATTACATGCATAGAATGTGGTTAAATTACTCTGTTGATATAAGAATAGAATTTGTGCACTGTGGTGGTAGAGTATAATTCCATTCTGGGTGAACCTTATTCTGATAAAGTCTCACAGTGTGTTATTGAGTAATATTTGCTGATGACCACGTTTTGAGCACAATTTATTGTTTAGGAAATATTACTGTATCACACTATGGGGGCTTTATCAAAATAAATTTTACCCACAATGAAGTTATACTCTACAACTGGTGGATGGTGGCTAGCAGTGGAATCCAGGATAACGCGCATTTCGTCCTATTTGGGACTTGTCTGCCAGCTGGATGTACCTTCATTTCTCAGTGAGTGATGACGTTCCCACCGAAGCTCGAACCCAGTACCCATCCTGGATTCCACTGCTAGCCACCATCCACCAATTGTATACTAATTAAATGCCCAGACATCGTCGAAGCATCTGCACAAGAAGCCGATATGTCAACCTGAGACCGAGCACTTCGGTCCAAACAATCGACGGGAAAATCAAAAATTCAATTCGAAGTTATACTTTGCTGATACTCCACCCTGAAACTGAAAGCTATTTTTATCACGTGGAAGAGGAAGGTATCCTCTGTAAGACTTTTCTACAGTTTTTATGCATTTTTTTTCCTAAATATATATGTATTCCATGCGCAAAAATGCCTCCTTCACGTGATTGGTGCGTTGTTCGAGGTCATTCGCTGATTGGTAGTTAGTTAGTTAGTTAGTGGTGCTTAAAGTTTAACTTTGCCGTATGATCGTATGCATATTACAATTAGTTATCCTGGCAAATCTTCTATACCTAAATAGGCCTAACTGAACACATAGTCCAGCCCTGAAACAAGAAAGACTACGTGTTGGATACAGAGTGTGCCCTTACAAATACGAACAGGATTCAGACTTAGAGGAGTTGTGTCTCAACTGTTTAGTATTTGCCTTATTATTATGCGAACCCTTGAGTTTCGAATGGAACACAGAGCTTTATTTAGGGATTGCTATTTCTACCGGTTCTATTCAGTCTTTCTTAGCTAAAAAAAATCATAACCTTTCTAGGCATCTTTAGTGATGATTTCAATAATTAGATGAGGTTTCTGTGTTCTCCATTAGTTAAATAAACAATCAGGGTTATTGAAATCATCGTTTAATATTTTGTCTGTAGGCATCATTTTACCATTGGAATTAAGTGATCTAGTGTGTTGATTGTTCAGTAGAAATTGTCAACTATACCTACGGGAGGAGTATAAGTTCATTTCTCCAAAGATGCACCCGAAAATCTCTCCTAGTTTACTTGTGGTATCCTTATGCTTAGGAAAATAAGAAAGGTTGGGTGTATAGGTAGCGATGCCACCCTTCAAAAGACTTCAAAATTTGGTTTCCTTATATTCACTCGAGAAGTTAGAGTGATGGGAAAAATAAATTAAATCATTGCGTTCAGAGAATACAAGTATACTCAGCACCTTTCACCATCCAACATCTATCAAAATGGGAAGTAGAAAACGGTCCTCCATCTGTAACTGAAAACAGGCAAATCAGCAAGACCTAATGGAATTACTCCAGTGGTGTTGAACAACGCTGGTGACAAACTAATGTCTGGGTTAACTAAGATTTGAAACAATGCCTAGGAATCAGAGTTAATTATGTTAGATGGAGTAAGTCACCAATTACCCCGGTTTATAAGTAGGGAGACAAGTTTTCTTGTGATAACTATAAGAGGAGAAGCTTAACTAATATAGTATCTAAAGTTCTAGGCTCCATAATCATGTGTAGAGTAAGTGGTGCTCGGGAGAAACAAACACGAGAGAGAATCAGGCAGGCTTTAGACCAGGTGGAGGGTGTATTAGTAATATCTTCACTTGTCGACAGATTCTGGAACTTGAGGATACTTACAGGTGTCGATCAATGGCTACATTTCTTGACCTGAAAGTGGAATTGGATTTCATCGACAAAAAGGTACTATGGCAATCTTTGATCGTGAAGGGAATGTCGAGAAAATATATATTGCACTGGTCAAGGCACTCACTGTGCTCGAACTCATGCAGCCATCTAGGTAAGAGACTACAAAGAGTTGTCATCTGACAACTGTGATGATAACCAGCGGTATCCGTCAGGGATGCCCACCACTATTTCCATTTCTGTTCCATTTCATCATAGATGTACTGATAGCCTTAACCCTAACGGACGTCAGAGACTCAGGGAGTGACTTGTTCTGAACCAGAGAACCATCTCGTTGACTTAGAATATGCGCATAATATATTCCTTCCTCTTGGGTGAATATGCTGACATAATGTAGTCTTTTGAACACCTTCAACATCAACGTTCCAACATCTCGCATGAGATTCGCTCCGCTTGTCAAATGTAAAATGAAGCTACAGGACCGGCTGGACTACATTGATTCCCAGCTTCAAAACAGGGAGCGAGTGAAGTAGTAGGACGTGTTGACCACTTCACATGTTCAATAAGTTTTACCCATCCTAACGAACTGATTGATGACGAAATCTCAGCAGAGATAGAAAACGTTTATGCGGCAGCTGTCTATCAGGTGTTCTTTGGTTATCAATGATTATTGTATTTGATGACCTTTAATGTCAGTCAATTTCATTTATTCCTTTCTTGAAGGCCCAGTCGAACATAGAGTCCTTTGCTTTCTGTCGTCTCTTTCAGTTACCTCTACAGTTGGACATAAGTTTTCATTTCTTGTACATATAATATTCTCCATATCACCCTAGGACGTGCGCACATCTGAAAAAGAGAAGATGTTCAGCGAAGAGACTCTTTTCGATGGAGAATACATTCACATAGCTGTACAATCACATTTATATATACACTTATTTGTATGTGTGTGTGAACATGGGGTTTGTCAAGTTTAGATAATTAATCAGGTAATACAAGAATGATCTAAAATGGAAACAAGGTTAATTAGACAGCAACTAAAGTAAGATTTAGTTAGTAAGTTAGATGATGACGTAATATAATTGACTAAAATGTTTCAACTTAGGTCAGGGACAGCAGCAGAGGTAATTACAGGTTGAGGTAGAGACTAAGTAGAAGTGGGGTATAGACTAATTAGAGGTGCCATTTAAATTAGGATTAGAATTGAACAGTTAAGTTGGATGACGTAACACAAATGAGTGACTAAAAATTGAACGTTGTTCAAGTCAGTAGCAATGGTAATGAGGTGGAGAAATTAAATCGGGTGGAGGTAGAGAACAGGAAAGTTGAGAATGTAAAATATTACAATTGAAAAGACAAATTATTATTAATGAAGAGACAGAAAGAAAAGGAAGTAGAATTTACCTGTCGGGTATTAAGTGGATTACGTCCACTGCAAGTATAGTAATTGAATGAACTTCTTCTGTATGCGGAATTCAGGGCTTAGCAGAAGCAATGGCAATTTATGTTTTTTAATATTAATAATAGTAATAATAATGATTTACTTTATTCCAAAAACAGTACTTGTGATACAGAATGGAATTTTCAGCATTAATCACAATATTGAATCTAATTTCCTCAGATTATAAATAAAAATTAATCACACAAAAAATCTTCCACATTTACAATAGGGGTAATTTCAGAAACATACAGCATATAAAATGGAAATAATAATAATAATGATAACAGCTAAGGTAATAATAATAATAATACAAGTGAAAATTCCCGTGGGCTTTTTACACACAGTAATGTCAATGCGGTATAGAAATCCTAGAATGTTTGAAAACATTGAATATAATGTTCTCTTTACATGATATGGTGCGGGGAAAAACAACGATTACACAAGTCATAGAGATAAGTTGGTGTTTGCAATTATTAGAGTAAAACAAAGAAGCAACAGGACCATAAATATAATAGAAATAATAAAAGTAAAACTTGAAGGTATATAAGGATTGATGGAGGAAATCGTTTATAGAACATGTTGACCACTTCACCTATTTGGGAAGTTGTATCAGCCAGCACCAACGGACCGATTGGCGACGAAATCTCAGCACGGATCCAAAAAGCTCGAGCTGCTTTCGCTGACTTACACCATCTCTGGCGTAGGCGTGACATCCGGTTATCAACCAAGGGACGTGTGTACTGCTCATCAGTTCGCTCCGTCCTTCTCTATGGCTCTGAAACATGGCCAATACGCGCTGAAGACATGGAAAGGTTGACTGCTTTCGATCATAGATGTCTGTGATCTCTTTCTCACGTTAGGTGGTTTCACAAGGTAAGTAATGTTGGCGTTAGGCGTAGAGTGTTGGGCAAACAGGGAAAATCAATCGACTAGGTTACGCGCTGCGTGTGCCTAACCATCGCCTCCTCCGACACGTCTCACTATCTGATATAGGTGCAGGTTGGAAAATAATAATAATATTAGCAATGATTAGTAATGTTTAAGGTAATTGGTA